GATGCAGCACCTGGAGGATCGACCCCACCTAGCCCAACAGTTGGTGGAAACGCATCGCCTGACGCACTTTGGCATGGCAGACACTGAGGAAGTGGCAGTATCGAGGCGAAGCACGAGACCAGGCAACTCCCTGGCGGACTACCTGTTCAACGTTATATTTACGAAGCCCTTGGAGTACGCCTCGGAATCCCTCAAGGCTCAAGGACTTTGTTACGAGGTTCCAGAGCGAGACAACAGATACCCGAGCCTTTCCAGACACAGGACAGCACAAAGGGTATTGACTGATGTATCGTTTGTTGACGACGCATTGTTCGTGGTGCAGGCTCGAAATGATATAATGCTGATGGCAATGCGGAAGACAGCCGACACGGTCCATGGAGCCATGCTGCTCTACGGCTTCGAGGTCAACTATAAGCGCACCAAGACAGCCTTAGTACCATCCATCAGAGGCCCAGGCTCGGGACCCACCAAGAAGCAGGTATATGGCAAGTCCCCAGCCACCATCAGTTCCAGGAGATATGGGTTAGTTGTGCATGTGGAGGTATGCTACAAGCACTTGGGTACGGTGATCGACAAGGACGGCTCAGTGGGCACCCAGGTCGCCAGGAACTTGAATCGGCACCGAGACGCAACGGGACCAGTACGGAAATCAATTAACAAGTTATTGCCTCTCAGCAGCGAGACAAAAGTCAAGATAGCCGACACCCACATCAATGTGCACCTGGGGTACCACGCCGAGACGTGGGCCGAAGTCAGCAACACGAAGATGAAAGCGCTCGAAGCAGCATATCAAAAAACATATCGATCAGCGTTACGGCTTCACCTCCCTGATGAAGATGGGCAGCGACCAAGAACTTGCAAAGTGCTGTACGAAGCCAAGAAGCCGCCGCTCCAAGCAGGAATACGACTTCGGCGACTCAGATATCTAGTTGCACTACTGGAAGCTGGTCCCACAATACTGCTCGAGATGTTGGACCTTACTTGGAATCCCGAGAAAGTCGAGGTTGGCTGGGCAGCGCAGCTCAAGCAGGACTTTGCTTGGATTGCAACACACATGAACACAGGCCCAGACGACCCCATGTTACACAGGACCTTGCAGGCATGGGTCGACAACATAGTGAAGGACCCCTCGGCGTTCAGAAGGCTGCTCAAGCAAGCATGGGACAGATACCGTGCACAGCAACAAGACGAACATCATCTACAGGAATGGAAGCAAGCACTGGCAAAGCTTCAAGGACACGAGCCCAAGGATGCAGATCATGCTATCAACAACCGACACAAAGTTTTCTGCTACATATGTGGGCATGAATACGCCGACATCGCCACCTTGACAGGCCACATCCACCGAGACCACCGCGTTATCGACACGGCACAACGCTATGCAGCTGGATCTTACTGTCACGCGTGCAAGAGTGAACATCACTCCAGACCACGACTACTAGTACATCTTCGTCGAGTATCAGAATGTCTGCAGGTGCTCAAGAGCACAATGGCGCCACTGTCCGATGCTGAAGTCCACAAACGCCAAGAGCAGGACAGAGCAACGATAGCAGCACTTAAGCAGCAAGGTTATGGAGCATCGAAGGCAATACAACCAGTCAGACGGGATGCACCCCAACGTCGAAAAACACATCGGCTGCAGCAAGTAGAAGACTACGGCCAACATGCTCCAGATGACGAAGTACCTCCGCCACCGCAGCCACCTCAACATGTTCCTGTCCACCCGCAAATACGCCGAGGCTACGACCACCCAGACGCAGCAGACGTTGACGACATTGAAGCGGAGGAGGCAATCTCACGAGTTGCACCTACTCACTTGCCTACGTGCAAATATGTACTTCATCTATTCTCAGGCCGAAGAAGGCCAGGGGATCTGCAAGACTGGATAGAACAACAACATGATTTCAGCTGCGTGGTACTACAAGTAGATGTTGCACTATCTGAGGCTGGAGACCTCACACACTGGCAACATATTCTCAAGTTCGCGAGGATGGTCGCCGAAGGGCATATATTGGGCATTCTAGCAGAACCGCCTTGCGAGACCTGGTGTGGCGCCAGGTATCATCAAGTTGAAGGATATGCAGGACCTCCCCCAGTACGTTCATCGCAATATTTATGGGGCTTACCAAATAATGAGATGCGTTACCGACAACAAGTCACGTTGGACAACTTGCTAATGCGGGCATCGATCTTCTTGGCAGCGGCATGCGCAAAACACTACATACCCATGCTGCTGGTACATCCGAGGAGGAATTGGCGACCACAAGCCCCATCATGCTGGATTATCCCTGAGATGCGAGCGCTCATGAAGTTACCAAATGTATGCACGATTACGATTGACCAATGCTCAATGGGCCAGACTTCCAGGAAGCCCACTACCATTCTCCAGGTATCTTGCAGCAGCTTCAGCACCCTGATCAACAGGAGGAATGACAGCTGCCGCTGCAGACACCAGTACCATGAAGCCAGCATTGGACGTAACAACAAAGGAAGTGACAAAATGGCCCAGAATAAGGAGTTACCATCGGAATTATCAAGATGCATGGCGCAAGCCATTCAAACATCCTGGCAGGAACGTTACTACGCCCGTGGATCGACCTTGGAACATGTTGATCATGAGCTGCTACAGCTATATGTACCGTTGGACATCTACACCGAGGACCCCACCACCAGCCAGGATCACACCACCTGAATTGATAAGTATTGATGTCCAACACTGTCCAGTTCTGGGGCCTGGAGTGCCCGCCTCATGTCCCCCGTGGCGCTACAGCGCACGGGCCCGCTGCCGCAGCATCAACAACTACGCGAATTGAGCGGCGCCTGCGAGAGACCCCCCGGAGGGAGCGGCGGGGGCCCCCAAGGCCCCAATGCCCTTCGGGGGGTCGTCGTACGTCCCCCTTTCGTCTCCGTCGTTCCTCCTTGTAACGTGGCGGCGGCGTCAGCGGTGGCATCTACCTCCCTCTCGGGGCGCGGCCGCGGGCGGCGGCCATGCCTGGAGTCAGCAGACACGACGCGCGTCGCGCAGCGTTTGCGATGATGATGATGGAGGAGGAGGAGGAGGAGGAGCAGGATCCAGCGCCAAGCCAGCGCCACTGGGGCTCACGCCGCGGGGGGGGCGTGGTCGCCTGGAGGACGGCGGTGAGGCTCCGTGGCCAACGTCGGGCTCGGGCGAGGCCCGACGGGCACGGCGGGAGCGGGCGCAGGCCTCCTCCGAGGGCAGCGCCCCCAACGGGAGGGCGGCAGGCGGAGCCCGGCCTCCTCCTCCTCCTCCCCCTCCTCCTCCTCCTCCCCCTCCTCCTCCTTCTCCTCCTCCTCCTCCTTCCCCGTCCTCCTCCTCCTCCTTCCCCGTCCTCCTCCGGGCACCTCTTGGGGCCTCCGGGGAACCTCGTGGGCCGTCTTGGGGCACCCTCGGGAGCCTCGGGGGCCATCCTGGGGCCGTCTCGGGGGAGATCGAGCACGGGAGGCGGGGTCCTTGCTCGGGGTCTCCTCCGAGGGCAGCCCGTGCCCCCCCGACGGGGGGGCGGCGGGCGGATCCCAGCTGTGGCCACGAGAGGGTTCCCAGAGGCCCAACTCGCCATCGCTCGGACGTCCATTCCGCGTGCATTTTTCGGTTTTGTGCGTTTTTTATTTTTTTTTGTTTGCTGTTTGTTGTTTCAAACAATGTTTAATGATTGGCAAGATGATCGACGATGCTCCTCAATGGTCGCAGCCGGAAAAAAAGGCACAGGTCCGAGCGGCGCCAAGCCGAGAACAATTCGTGCTCCCGACAGGAGGGCGGCAGGCGGAACCCAGCTGTCGCCACGAGAGGGCTACCAGAGGCCCAGGCAGGCCCTAGAGGCGTTCGAGCGCCTCGCCCCCTGGACCCTCGGCTGACTGCCCAAACCGCCGGCGGCATGATTTTTCACAGCGCGGACTCCCGAAAGTCTGGGCCATTCTCCGGGACCGGATTGCCACTCTCCACCCCGAATGCTTCCCCATCCAGAAGACTTGCCCATGAGGGTCCTACACATCTCTTCTAAGGCTGGGCGTAGGGTCTTCTGGATCCAAAATCAGTGGCTCGAGGTCTCCCGTATGGTTTCCCGTGTAGTCTCCCGCATGGTCTCCCCGCATGGTCTCCAGTGTGGGCTCCCGCGAACGAAGGATTGCAAAAAACGAGAGATTGCAAAAAAACCCGTAGGGTTTTTTTGCAATCCTTCGTAGGGTTTTTTTGCAATCCTTCGTTTTTTTTTGCAATCCTTTGGTCTCTTGCCTGGTCTCTTGTGTGGTCTCCCGTCTGGCTTCCCGTACGGTCTCCCGTGTGACCTCATGTGACGCCTCCCTTACGACCTCCGTTCTGGCCTCCCGTATGGTCTCGCGCATGGTTTCCGGCATGGTATCCCGTATGGTCTCGCGTATGGTCTCCGGCATGGTATCCCATTTGGTCTCGCGTCTGGTCTCCCGTATCCTCTCCTGTCTGATCTCCCGTATTCTCTCCTGTCTGGTCTCCTGAATGTGCAATACAGAAGTCGGCTCTCGCTATCTCTCTCTCTCTCTCCACTGCTTCATGCTGCCTCGCGTCTTCTGCCACCAGGGGGTACCTTCTGAAGCTCCCAGGGCGCAGTGAAGGCTCCTGGAAGCCCACACCGTCAAAAGCCTCCCACCGCGATCCTCTCACGAAGCGAAGGGACCTCCAGAAATCCCTGGAGGTCCTCCGCGGAGGCCTCCCGAGGCCTTCCGGACACTTTTGAGGGCCTCCAAGCCCTTCAAAGGCCTTCCTGTCGAAGGTCCACCGAAGGACGACGGACGTTTTCGGGTCATAATTCTGCTCTCCGGCGGCCGTTCTAAACGATGCGGGAACCCCCAGAACGCTCTCGAAGGGGCGCAGCTGTTGAAAAGCACCCTGGGGCTGGAAAACCGCCGAGCACGGACGAGAACGTCCGAAAAACTCGGTCGAGGACGGCCGTGGACAAAAGGCGTCGGCGACGACGTCGCGGCGGGCTCTGCAAAGAGCCCGTGGGGACGCAGAGTGCGAGGCCCAGCGTGCTGCCGGTGCTCGTCGCCGAGACGCCGACGCTGTTGTATTTGGCGATGACCACGCACACCGCGAAGATGACGCCGAGCAGCATCAGGAGCACCTGCTGTCGGGGGCCGAGGGATGGTTCTGGGGCCCAGGCCGCGGAGGAGCCAACGGCGTCGGAGTGGCCTGTGGCCTGCACAAAATGATCCTGGTGCGACCCTACCTGGGAGTTGGAGCCCCTAGGAAAGCAGCATTAGTGGTAGCAGTAAAGCTAAGCTAAAGCTAAGCTAAAGCTAAGCTAAAACTGACGTAACGTTAAGCTAAAGCTAAGCTAACGCTAAGCTCAAGCTAAGCTAAAATTAAAATCAAAACTAAAACTAAAGCTCCCAGGGGACTGGGGGAACCGCTCCCAGGGGACTGGGGGAACCGCCCGGGGCGCTTTGCACTGCCCGGCCCCTTTAAGCAAAAAGAGTAAGAACCCTGCTAGGCAGAGCCTAGGTAGGGAAATATTTTTGTGGAGATCGGCGCTGGACCTCCCCAGACATCCAACGTCTCGAAAAAATAGAGACATCGGATTTTCATAATTTTCGGCCTCTCGGGGCCCTCTCCAGGCCTCGGGACCGTAAAAAAACGACTCGGGGGGACCGTCAAACAATGACTCGGGATAAAAACCGACCTTGGGGAAGTGGTCGAGAGGTCGGGGGCCCGTGTCCCGAACAGAAATCGAAACGCTGGATGTCGGGGTCCCTGGCGCGCTAAACGCGCCTGGGAAAGAGGAGGAGGAGGAGGAAAAGGAAGATGATGATGATGATGATGATGATGATGATGATGATGATGATGATGATGATGATGATGATGATGATGATGATGATTATGATGATGATGATGATGAGATGACGAGGAGGAGGAGGAGGAGGAGGAGGACGAGTACTGCAGAGGTGCTGATGTAGGCTCGATGTTTCTAGAGCCCCGATGAGCTTCGGAGGGGAACTCCCTCTCCAACGGTCTCGGGCCTCCTCGGCACTCGCGCATGCTGGGCCCTCTTGGGCCCCTACATCACAGGCCCTGCACGGGGGGCCGTGCACTCGCTGACCCCTGCACGCCCCCACGGCGCCTCGGTGCAGGCGTACTCGCCGAACTTGGCGATGTGGATCTCCTCACCAGTCGACTCCTGTTCAACCGTGGCTCGCAGCTGGCAACGCCGCGAACCTCGGGTTCTCATTCATCCACTTGTGCGTGCACGGCGTTTGCGACATCTTCTCAGCTGTCGTCGGGCCTCCGTCCTTCTTGTTCCTCTTGATCTTATCATGTGTATCCGCCTTCACAATCTAGTTTATCTCTTTGTTCTTCTTCGCGTTGGTCCACGCACCTTTGCAACGCCATCCGCACGGCGAACAAGGCACGAATACCGTCAACGCGCACAACATCACGACCGTCAGTGCGTTCTCGTCGAACCAGTCGCGAATCACTGATCCCACCAGGCTGGTGATCTGCTTCTTCTCGTATGTGTCCAGCAAGGTCGCCAGCAGGCCCTGCCATGCCCAGCTCGTGCTCGTTGTCACCGGCCACGCTTCCAGCTCCTTCTTCTTGTCCATCCCCGCGAAGTCCACAATGTCCGCCAGGTCACGCAAGTGCTCGAACCTCGTCACGGGATGCGCTTTGGTGCCCAAGTCCGCTACATTTTCTCGTCGCTATCCTTCCTCACGTTCAAGCCATTCTGCTTCCGCTCCTGCTGAATCCACAGCGCTCGAACGTCAAGATGCTTCACCTTGCCAACGCCCTTGCGGTTGATCATGGCCTGCGCGGCGCTGCTGTCTATCGACAATTCCCAGGTCACGTTGTAGCCCAGCCACTCCAGTGCGTTCTCGATGAGCTTGCCGTCCATCACCTCTGAGGTCGCCCCGTAGGACCCCGCCTCTCCTGAAGTGCGGTCTGGATTCCCTGGCGCCTTGCGAAAGCCGCGAACTGCGCGCCGTCCAGTTTCGTGACCCCACATGTCATCGCCCTCCTCGTGGTCTTACACGTCGCGAAGTCCGTGTCCATGTGCATCTGCAACTCCACCTTGCCAGGCTTGCTCACTGCTGGCTTCTTAAGCAGCACTCCGCATGTCTTCGTCCCCATCCAAGTACCTCATTAGCTTCACCAAGCGATTCCTGCCGAACTCCGTCGGCTGGCTCAGGCTCCCCGCCAGCAACTGCACGCCCCTCTGGATGTCGGTTCTGTCGGGGGAGACGAAGAGTGAGGTGCCCGCACCGCTGCGGTACTTTGCCGTCTCGATCTCGTCCAGCTCTGGACTCCAGGTCCGCTCCCTTTCGTCAAGCACGGCACCTTCGCGGGCTTCGCCTTCCCCATGCCCATCACGTAGATCAGGTCCTCGATGTGCTTGACGTTCGGGCGCAGCATCACGTCCCCGTTTATGAGTCTCAGCCTGTCGCGCTTCAGGTGCGAATGGCGTCCTTTCCGGATGACATCCGTGGCCTTCAGGTCGAACACATTCCTCAGCCTCATGATGACACCATCCAGGTTCTTCACAGGTCCTTCGCCGTGGAAGCCATCCATGTGAACCTTGATCAGGACCTCCTTCTCCATATGGTCGTAGGGCCGGGGCTGGCACTCGCATCGCTCAAACCCCTCGCCTTTCAAAGTCTTCGCCGCCTGATCCACCCAGCCAGCGCCTGCCGCGCGCTGTCCTGGTAACATCTTCTCCTGCGCCCACGCGATGTCAGTCGGTCTCCCCGACTCCGCCAGGATCGCCAGGTACTCAGCAAGTGGCTCCACGCGCGCCGTATCCGTCTGGTCTGCCTGGCAGTAGGCCTTCACCCAGTCCGCAATGAACGTGCCGTGCTTCCCTTCCTCGATGCTGACGAAGTCCCCCAGTCGGCTCGTCTGTGCTGAAGAGCAAGCCCCTCCACGCATCTGCGACTCCCAGCGCGCCTTGATCATCTTGAACTTCCCGCTCTCGCTCCTCGGGGTGTCCCTGTGCGCGCCGTAGTGCGCCAGCACCTCCAGCGCTTCGCACATGCCCTTGAGCATCGCCGCTGGGTCCAGGCCGCTGGTCGTGACGTAGGCCGCTGTGTTTGCGCTGTCCAGGATGCGGTAGTCGATCTGGTCGTCCAGCGAGATCACTTCCACGCGCCTCGCTCGCTTGCCAGGTGGGCCAAAGTCTTGGTCATCAGCTGGTCGGGTTTGACCTCGTGGGGTAGCTGGTCTCCTCCATCGGGGTTTCCGCCTGTGGCCCTGCTGCCGCTGCAGCTCCTGCTCCAGATCCTGCTGTTGGCACTGGTTCAGGTTGTCGTGCGTCTCCGCCTCGATCTGGCGCCCGCAGCTGTTAATCTTCTCCTGGTGCCGCTGCCGTCTCCGCCTCTGCCTTCGCCTTCTACTCCGTCGCCTTCAGGGCGATCGTGGGCAGGGGCCGCTGCGTTCGTGGCTGCAGCTCGCACGGCTTGGCGCTCCGCGCGCCCCGCGGTGAGCCCGTCACCGCCATCGGCAACTTTTCGTCGGTCCGCAGGGCAGCCTCCAGCCCCCTGCAGGTCCTGGCGCGATGCCAACCTGCTGGTGTCAGAAACAGATGGTCATCGCTCTCCTCGTGCTCCCCGATCCAGATGCCCTTCGCGAAACTCGACTCGCCCTCGTGCTTCAGCGCTCTCGCCGTGATCTGCCTCGCGTGGAAGGTCGGTACCTTGGAGAGCGCGGTCTCCGCGAATGATATGATCTCGCCGTTGTAGGTTACTCCGTAGGCTGCCGGATGAGACATCCTCCCATCGGCTCTCGGTCTGTAAGTTGAAGTCACCCAGCTCACGTGGCGTGTCATCCAGTGCCAGATCGGTGCGTCCACCGTGATCTTCATGCCGTAGCGCTTCTCCCAGTCGAACTTGTCGGTCCTCACCTTCGCCTGAAACCGTCTGATGGGTGCCTCGATCGCGCCGGTGCCCTGACTGTCCTTCAGGTTGCCCTGCTTCGCCTCCAGCATGACGCTCTGGCTCAGCTTCCTCCGCGCTTCTTCCACCAACTTCAGAGCCGTCGGCTCGCCGTCCGTCTTGATTTCGCGGTCGTCAAGTGCATGCCTTCGATGAAGCTGCTCGCGCTCGCCACTGCGTAGTCGGCGACCGCCTTCGTCGGCGTCGAGATCGCGTTGGACATCCGCGTGTCCCTGTCTGCCATCACGAGCGTCGTCGCGAAGATGTCCGCTGCTGGTGGCTCCTCGTCGCCAACCTCGTCCAGTCGCCGTTGGTCTCCAGGTCGCAGAAGTCCAAAGTGTTCTGAGCCCGGCCTGTGTCGTCCTGATCGAAGGTGAGCGTCTTGCGCGGCCTAGTGGTCTCGTTGCCGCGCACGCAGGCCTCGCGCCACTTGGCCCTCGTCGAATGCAATAACTCGTGGGCTGGCATCTCTTCAGGCGTCGGCTCCGTTGGATCAGCAACTTGCCCTGGTGCGATCGCAGGCGTCCCTTGGACGGACGGCTCGTGCCTGCGCTCCAACTCCTTTAGCTTGTCGTGGCGTGCCGTGATCCTTCGCTCCGCGTCGATGAGCCTGGTCCACAGCTCATTCTTCCCGCCGTGGATCGGCGCCCCCCAACTCCCGCAACCTCGCTCGCATGTCCTCTGCGCGGCTCTCAGGATGCAGGGCGATCTCCTGGCTGTCGCGCTGTGGCACTGGCTGTCGCGCAACCTGCTCGCGTGCTCGATCTCCTCATACTGCTGCCGTCGCTGCCGGCCGCGCTGGCCCAAGTCGGGCCGCTGCCGCTGCGTTTCCGTCGCTGCCTGAGGCCCCGGGCGATGGCGCGAACTCCTCCTCAGCCTGCTGCTCGTTGGCGTTCGCGCTCGCCGCGGGCTCCCATGCCTCGTCGTCGACTTGGCGGTCCTTGCGTTGAAGCCGAGCGTGTCCTTGCGCCCGGTGAGCGGGATGCCCTTGCTGAGGTCGCCGCCTGGGCGCGTGCGCGTGCCCGACTTCGCGCGCAGCCAGGACTCCGCGCCTTCGTCCACCGCCTCGAGCAGCGAGAGGATCGGCTTCGACACCGTGTCGCCCCGCCTCAAGTCCGCCTTCAGCAGCTTCGTGTGCTCGTTGTCGTTGTCGCCCGCCATCGGCGCCGGCGCGATGGGGTTCATCCTGATCTCCTGTTTC